TATTGGCAGACAATGATTGAGGATATCAGGTTTTAGCTTGGGAAATAAGAAAGTTCCTTTTTAGCCAGAAACCTTTAGACTGACTTGGACAGATGAAGCTTAAAACCGTTAGCGAATACTTTCTAAGATCTTTTGGAACTTGAAGATTTCCCACTCACAGAGCTGAGCAGCGTGGGTCATTGAAGTCTGATTGATCATAATTTCTGCAGATCAAAGCTGAAGGCAGATCAAGTCATTGCCAAGGCAGTCACACAAATTCACACACATACACACAGACAAACTGTATGATGCCTTATGTTCCTTTTGGCGGCCTTATCGTCTCAACCCTTATTTACTCTCTGAGTCTCTGAGGTGTCTGTTGGTCTCATCTAAGCAGCCTTTAATGAAGCGTCTCTTCCTGGTCTGGTAGATGAGGGATTTTTATTCAAATATTTGACTCATATAATTTCTTTTTCACATCCAGTCTGAGAGGATCTCACTGATAAGCGAGATAACATTGTCTGTTTTATGTTTTACTCACTCATTTCGCTGGAGCTGTCTGTGATGTTTGACCCCTGACCTCATTGCTCTCCTCCGCGGTTTCCTGTTTTCACATCTGCAGGCTGAGTGACACCAACTCCAGCAGACACTGTGTTTGCTCTGTTTCCTATCAGATCTGAATTATTCATCAGAGAGAGGGAGAGTATATCATTCACAAAAGCTCCGCTGGACACACAGATAGCTTTGAAGTGAATAACAGGATATGAGGAGAAAGGTGTTGCTTCAGAGACGTGCTGATAGTAAACCACAGCTGTGTTATGACGAGTTGACTCCTCGAAATGAGTATTGAGTGTTGTGTTCAAATGGATGACTGGATGACTTCAAAATTTATTAGTTCCTTTGGGCGTTTGTGTAATAAGGACTAAATAGAAATTAGGTATAAATCAGGAATCCAACATCAGCTTTTATGGAAGAGCAACATCCTTTTTACAAAGTTGTTAAATCTCTAACTGAGCCATAAAACTGCATATTTTGTCATAAAAGAAGGTAGGATAATTCCATGTGTTTTTAGTGCAGGTCTTTGTGAGTTTCATTGCAAATATTCAGTGATGCAAAATGCAAAATATCAAAGCTGGAATCACAAGAAATGTCTTTTTTTTTGTCTTTCTCTCTGGTAAAAATAACACTAGAGTAATTAAAAATGCACCAGAATCCATTTTTTAACTAGTTTTACAATGTTTAAATTCCTTAGTCTTTCACATGTAGACAGAAAGTGTAGGTCGGCACTCTGAATGTGTCTGGCCCAATCTTAAATTTGCCCTTAATCCCACTCTGGCATATAGACAAGGCAGCATGACAGCCACTTCAGACGTAAAAATCTTGTCTGCTCTTTTTTTGTGCGTCTACATATCCACAGGCTAGACAGCGAGGGCTTTCACTTCACCCATCTCCCCCTGATCCCCCCCCTCAAGTCCCCTCAGGGTGCAGTGTGACCCACACAGGCACCCAACCGGAAGGCCAACACCGCTTTCTCTCCCCCGTGCCACAGTATACATGACCTCATTAGGCGAGCCCCACCCACTTAACTTGTTTTACAGTATGGTACGATATCAGTCAAACCTATTGACTCTGATGAGATGACAACCCCAACCCCCTTACTTCCTAAACATGACCTACTTGATGTATACAAGCACATGCGGATGTTCACCCACTAACCCCAACACACCTCACAGATGTGCCTTCTTCTCCCCCTTCCTCATTCCAACAAGTCACTGTAGTAATCGAGTTTTTACATGCTTGATTGGTCATATTACTGTAGATATCTTTTATCACTGGATAGGCAATGGTCAAACATCAACCGCAATTGATGTGTTAAAGGAAAAATCCTAATTGAATTGCTTTACTTATGCCATTCACCAAAATGAATGAGAAATCTATTGTCAAAGAAAAACAAAAATGCCGATTTCTCCATAGATTTGCTGCTGCAGTCGGTGTTACCAGTGTTCCATGTTGTGTTCAGGCATACACTGATTAGTTTACTTGCCCACCACCCCTACCGTCTCTTGCTTTCTGTAAAAATAGAAATAAAACCCGTTTGATTCATCTTTGTATCATAACCACATTCATCAAATAAGACTCTAGTTTGTAGGCTAGAAATCACGAGTTTCATCCCAATACTATATTATACGGATTCTTTGGACAACGATACAATATTTGCTGACATCACAAAGTCTACTACGAAATGATTTCGATTCGATGATATTGGATCGTCGATCACTGAATCGATATATTGATCCAAATCGATGGATTGTTACCCCACTAGTTACTGATACTTAGCCAGATGACCAATGCTACAATCATAAACTCAAAGTGTCTGCTTCGTATGGCAGCAGAGTCGCAGCACAGAGTTTCGACTGCGGTCACGTGGTCTACACTTACACTTCAAGTGCAGATGGTGAGACCGCAGTCAGCTCTGTCAGTAGCAGAAATGCACAAGGCAACATTTAAGGACCTGCACTACGGAGATGACTACAACCTGGATGTTGAGGAAGCCAAGAGGATGATGGAGGAAGAAGCGGTCATCCTTGGTTGGAAAGAAGAGGGAGATAAAGAAAAGGAGGGAGCTGCTGCCAACCCCGAGCCACAGCCCAAAAGAACAAGAAAACGTTGGCAAGAAAATCAGGCTTGGCCACAGCCATGCTTACTGTTCCTGTTTTGTTTGAAGGAAAGGGAAGATCTAAAGAGCTAACACTAAAAATCAAAGTATGCGCTCTACAGATACTGAGCGTCATGGACAAATATGTTTTCGTGTAAAATTATTGGTGCAATCTGTAAAACCAGTGTCGTCACAAGTTAATGAACAGGTGGGAAAACTGCCTCATCGTAGCATCCCTTCTTCTCCACTGACAAACGGTTATGCACTGCAGCCACTAGATAGAAAATAAAGAGCACGATTCACCTTTGGAAAACTGGAAAACTAACGAAATGTTATATGTTCGGCCACATGGTTTGTTGAAAGGCAATCTAGAAAATACTAATAGTTTAAGTTGTATTTGAAGTCAACAAAGTTCTCCACAAGATTGAAATGAAAGAAAAGTAAAACAGTAAGAAAAACAGACATAAATAAAGTGTGATGAAATGGTAAAAGGAAAGCACGGGAGGAAAATAATATAAAATGAAATAACAAAATGCACATAAACAGAAACTTAATGAAAATCCACATTAAACACAAATGTTTAAAACGTCTTAAAAGCCACAAATGTATCAGACGCCTTCAGCAATGTGATCTCGCCTGGTTGGGGTTCAGATTCTAGCAGCAAGCTTGTACCTGGGTTCCTGGGTAGATCGCACAGGAGACCCTGACTTCAGTCTAATCTAGTTAACACAATAACATATATGAGTTTCTGCCTGTCAAATATCAGAAATGATGAATAATGTTGGCAGAAGTAGACAAGACCGAGATGAAGGTTGAGGACAAGTGGGACCATAGAAAGCACAACACTGGATTGTGGAACAGGTCCTTGAATGCGCTGAGTGTCATTTTGCTTGAAGTATGATGTCGATTCATACTATTGTGTTAGGTATACAGAGATACCTGTTTATGTTACGATTATCAAAGCGGTTTCTCTTGCGGGGGGTACAAGGAAAACTGTGAAGCAGATGTGTGCCAAGAGGACCGACTTCACAGTCCTGGCACTGACTCCCCTCCCGCATACACTCGTGGGCGCATGCATCAGTGTATATGTTCTTCAGTGCTATTTTTACGTGCGTGTGTGGGTTGAGATGATGTCGAGAGCGCTCCAAATTTCAGTTTGCCAAGTGTTTGCAGCCCATGCAGTATGAAAGTTAAGTATATAGAGCAGGCAGTGTTCTAAATGAGGTCCATGAATATTTAATCAAAAGACAAACGGGGAGACATGGAGCCAAGTGAGCCAGCCGCTGATGTAACTGAGCTGCTGGAGCTTTCATAGTTCATGCAATGTAAAAAGTAGATATCAAGGTAATTGGCATGTATTGTTTTGGATTTGTCAGATATTCTTGGATATGAGAGCATGTGGTGGTATGTGATACCTGATCGTTCTTTGCAGGGAAGCAGAATTAGCGTCTGTACGGCCTAGGAGCTGGAGAAGATTTGATGTCTTGATCGATGATGCTTTCTGAAAGGTGGATGCTTGATGGCACTGGGGCTTTAACTCAGATTTACCAGTTAGGAGACTCTGACCACTTGGCCAGATTTGTTCACCCCTGAAATTAGGAGAACATTTCTACTGCCTGAATTTAACCTCATCACTGCAGTACACCAGCAGTCCCACATTTAACACAGACAAGCTGTTGTAAGGCTGACGAAATTACACGTTTGATCTCAGATGAGAGGAATTTTGTTATGCCGGGTTCACACTATACAATATCAGCCTGATTATACCCGGATGCAGCGCTGTATGGTGTCGGCTCAGATCATGAACATCAATGAGTGTCGTGATCGGCAGGGATGGAGCATCTGCCGCAGGAAGTGAACACGCAGTCTACGGTCATTTTGAATTGACCAGTGGACTTTACCACAAGCCAGTTGGCTGTAGAAACAGGTGATGTGCTTTCTGTTTTAAAACCAGCCGCCGGCGATTTGACCAGCTGAGTTGCAGGTGACACCATCAGCCGGCTTGAGTCGAGCTCAGACCGGCCAGTTCACACGCTACAACTTTTCTCTTCAACGCTCTAAAATGGTTTCGTCTTGTTGCTTTCTCTTTGGTCTGAACTGGACTTTAGTCATCAGATCGAGGTCCCACAGGTTAATACATTCAGGATCATGCTTGTGTTTGGCCATGTCGTTGCCTGCCTGTCATCCAAACATCCACACACCCACACACACTCAGATCAGAGCTGATCTGAACGCCTGACCTCTTATCATATCATCACATACATCATCATAACTGCTTAATGTTTTTTTCCTCACATTATTTCCTATATTATAAAGGAAAAAAAAAGATAATCTGACACATCTTCTTTGTCTCTGTTTCTTCTAGTTGGGACGAGAGCAGTTCCATCAGCAGCGGTTTGAGCGATGGCTCAGACAACCTCAGCTCTGAAGAGTTCAACACCAGTCCCACACTCAACTCTCTGCCCACCACTCCCATCGGCTCCCGCAGAAACTCGGCCATAGTGGTAAGTCACACACACACGAACATACACAGCCTTCTGACACAGACGGATTAGCAGTGTGTTGGTTACTGTAGTATTGATTAAATTGTTATTCCAGGGAGGTATTGATGAGGTGCTGAATGGTGTGTTAGATCCTCTGTCAGAGAACAGAGGACATACATGAATACACACGACAGACAGCATCAGAGACAAAGCCTGATTAAGTATTCTACACACACCCATAATATTTATCACATCTGCAGCGATCAATGTTCGCTGCAACACACACAAACACACTGCATGCTGTATAGCTGCACTGTTCCACAAGGCTCCCTTTTGGGCTTTTGTAGAGGTTTTAAAGCTGCATTAAAAGCTGAATTTTTAATAGTAATCAGGCTTGTTTTGGAGGTTTTAGAGAGGAATGTCTAAAAACTAGTGTGGCCGTATTGAACTTTATTGTGATTGCACACCTGATCCAGAGCCTGTAGTTTTGGCCCAGTTCAGTAGTATAATTAGCCGGGCTGAAACAACTGTCCTGATTTATTATCCTTGTGGTAACAATACGTTGAAGCGTACTCGTGTATACGTGAGATATGGTGTTAAAAAACTGATGTGGGGATGGGAGGATTTGGGACTCATGACCTCAGTGCTTCTAAAATCCCGTCTGCAGCTCTGCTTGAGGTTCTTTAAGTTCCATCTGTAGCTGTATGGGTTCCAGACAGTGTGTGTGTGTGTGTGTGTGTGTAGAGTGTGTTTTCCTCGAGCGTCTGATGTAGGTCACACCTCCGCAATTTGGTTTATGTGACGGATGTAGTGGGATCTTAGAGAGAGAGAGACAGCGAGCAAGAGGGAATCAATGTAACCATGGCAACCGAAAGTGCAGGGATGCTGAGACTGTGAGCGCGGGTCTTTGTCTTCTACTGTATATTGAAGGACAGGTCTAGAACGGCCATCTGCGTACACACACACACACACACACACACACGCATTCACACATGCACAGACACACACACACACACACACACACACACACACGCACAGGGCCATCTGCAGTCCTGCATCCGGGCCAGCGAGCCGCAAGAACCGGGGCACCTCCCTCCACGCCTAGTTGCAGGAGTCATAGCAACCATTACCCCCCTATGGCATCATTACCATGGCAACCAACCATTCACCTCACCATGCACCCCACATTGTCTCGTACACATGGCGCCCTGTTCCCTCGACATTCTCAGCTGATTATCAGTTTCCTCTTTGTCTTTGTGTCCCGAAGCCATTTCTTTGTCTCCGTTTTATCACTCCACCTTTTCCCTTTTTGCTCCTGTTGATTTTAATCCCCTCAAAGGCAGCTCGGGCTTTACATTTGCTCCTCATTTCTCCCACGTATTGCATAACGTGCTCAACAAGGATGTGAGGGTGGAGGAGAGACGGGGGCACAAAGAAGACATGACAGAGAGAGAATCAAAGCTAGAAAGTGGTGCATGTAGGTGGTACAAAGACCCAGATTTCCTCATTTCCACATGGAGGTGGACCAGATAATCAAGTTATTACACCTTGTTTTCCCAATACCTTTTTACAATGTGGGTGTGTGTGTGCTTATCAGCGTGTGTGTTTGTGTCGTTATCATGTTTTGCCACTGCCTACATGGACAGATGTGTATCTCATCCCTGCTGTTTCAATAATCAGGGAATGTTTGTGAGGAAATGACAATGTTCTATCAACAAGGTCTGGTCAGACAGGACACTTGCACACACACACACGCTTACTCACTCACTCACTCACTCACTCACTCACTCACTCACTCGTACCTCCTCCTCATGTGATGTGAACCTGCCCATGGGGTCTATTGGTTTTAATAAAAAAGGAATTCAGCATATGAGTCCTCATGAGAACTGCTGAGTGCAATGTCCTGAACTCACACACACACACGCACACACACACACACACACACACACACACACACACACACACACAAACACACACTGTCTGACACATTGTGTAACTGTCAGTCTCCTACAGGGGGGAGAGTAATCTGCCTCTGTGAAAACTAAACATGTTGTGCATTGTGTGTATTTCTGGAAGCATCTAAATCTAATTAAAGCTGACTTGTAGACTGAGTAGCTCTAGGAACTGTTTTGCGTTCCCTCAAATCTTTTGTCTTTAGTACACTTCCACATGTTTTTACCACAACACACTCAGAGGACTTTTGCTATGTGTCAGTTCACATGCATATGTACTTACACTTGCTATTTTAAGTGCATTAAACTAATACTTCACCCACAAATGACCATATTTAAATGAATTTGTCAGTTACCTTGAATTTGCAAAGAACACTTTTTTTCCTCACATGCCTTTATCGAAAATGGCAAGCATATTGGTTTATAGATTGACTGGGATCCACATTTAGCAACACCAAAAAACTACATCAAAACATCCGTTTACAAACTCTCACACAACTCGTGCAATTTAATCCAAGCCTCATTTAATCAGTTGTATGCTCAGTTCCCCCAAACCCAAAGAATCGAGCCTGGCTTTGGAAAGGGAATAGATAGTTTTACATAGTAAGTAAAGTATTCTATAATTTGTTTACGCTGACAAGTATGGCAAAATGCAGTGCACTGTAATTCCCTGATTACAGAGAAAGCATTTTAGCAGCTGGAGGGGTCTTTTTGTAATCACTTTAAATGAGAATGAAGCTTTCTGCTCGCAATGTGCCTCGTGTTTCTGGACTTCAGGTGCCTGGCGTTTTTGCCAGTGTGCTCTGAACTCTTCGAGTTGAAAAAACTTCAACTCAAAGTGGAAAAACACCCCATGTCATCTCTTTGTCATCTGGTGGTAGCTGTTGCTGGATACCCAGAGCTATATGGCCTGACGATAGACAGCAGTTGTCAAACTGCCCCCCTGTCACCCTAAAATATGCCTGGAAATAGCCATCATCGAGGAGAAACTTCTGGACCAACTGGTGGTACTCCCCATGATCCACCCTCTTATTCAGGGTCTCATGTACCCACACAGATCTCCGTTTCCCTCTGCCCAACAAACTATTTACTGACGGCCTCTCACCCTCAACCAGAGCTACAGCAAGTACATTTTAGGAGCTAGATACTAATTACTTAAATAACTAAAATAAATGAATAAACGGTAGATTTATTACACAGGAGGTGTGTCCGTGGTTGCCTGGCAACAATAAAAAAGTGGCATTTAATTTTAAAAAAACCTGTGGCACACCCCACGTTTTGCAACCTGCAAAAAACACGTTCTGTGTGATCAGGGTTTAATGGTGTACTTATAACGGTATAAAAGTTCCATGTGGAACACTGGACACTTCTGATCCTTAATGGTCGCCATCTTGGCTACTTAGCAGAAGGGGAGAGATCACCAAACTTGAAAATGGCAGCTGAGGAAGCTGCAGCAGTTGCTCTGGTGAACAAGCAATCAAGTGGGCAGATATTTTGGTGGTCGACAATCACAGTTAAAAGTTGGCAATAAAGGTCCGCCTGGTTGCAATTTGCCATTAAAATGAAGAAGAAGCAGTCAAATGTGGTGCTTGTCATTTTCGATAAGCGCACAACAACCAGTGGAGACAACACTGTCACACAAGTAGTGTACGAGGAAGTGCACTAACGGAAGTATCCTGATTGAGTCACAGCACATGACTCACGAATGACCTCATATTTCCTTAGTTTAACATTTGACATTCTTTCTTATTGGATTATGTTTAGGCCGTGTTGTCTGATTCCTCTGTGTAGGTCAGTGTGTGTGTGTGTGTGTGTGTGTGTGTGTGTGTGTGTGTGTGTTTTCTCCCTCTGTTGTTTCTTTTGAAGTGTTCAAATAGAGCATACAATAGGATTTAGACAACATATGAGATGAGACGAGACATCAGAGAGTGTTTTTGAGCTGACTGGGTTAGACATGTTTTTCTGCTCAGAAGGCATCAATATGAGACAGAGTCTGAGGATCCGGCTGAGTCCGCACACCTCATCAAATGACATTTTTTTCAATTTGTGGCCACTCAAGAACATTAAATACAGATTTAAGGGATACACAATGTTTTTGCAGGAATGATCCAGTGGGTTGTTCCATTGGCTCATTCCTCCCAGTGTCCCAAACTAACTTTGTACAGTGGATTATGTTAAAGGATGTTAGGAAATGACTCAGAATCATCAAAGAGAAGCCAGTTTTTTTAGTAACAAAATGTTGTAGTATTTGATTCGGAAGGTAACATGAATGGGTACAGTTCTTAAAATTGGATTTGATTTGATTATAATCTTTTTATTGGCACGCAGATATACATTGCTTACTTGTATTACACTGCATGTGCTTGAGTTTTAATGTCCACCAGAACTGCAAGAAGTGTCTGCAGCTATTAACTTTACCATTTTCCTAATGGTCAAAAAAGTGGCCAACATGTCCAAATGTAGGTTGATAAAACAGACCCAACACAAGCTCCTATTTCCTTTTTTTAATTTCAGCCAAATCACATGGTTCTCATCAGTGCGAAGAGTTTGTTCATTTGCCACAGAGATACATCTGTTGACACACGAGCCTAATAGCTGTTGGGATTTCATTCATAGCACTTCTATAAGTCATTATTCCTCACCTGTAGTGCTGTTGATCAGGCTAGATTGTTTTGGTGTGGGTTGACGAGTGTTGTAGATATCAGCCGTAAAGATGTCTGCCTTCTCTCTAATAAAGAAGAACTAGATGGCACTCGACTTGTGGTGCTCAAAGTGCTAAAAAAAATACACTTGAAAGAACTCAATAGCAACGTCTCTTTCCAGAAAGCAGGATCTGGCTACTCAAGATAATCCACAGACCTTGTTGTGAGCCGTTTAGTGGAAGGAAGCAGAAGGAAGCGTGCATCTACTGCTAGCTCACCTAGCCCCACTGAGCTAGCTAAAGTTACAGCCGAGGAGGACTTCATTAATAGCCCCTTTTACACTGCCAGATTTTCTGGAAATGTAGGGCCATTTTGCCAGAAAGCTGTGAGCATTTAGGCTGTTGAAGACTTGTGGGAGGAGCTGTTGATGACGCTGCACGTGCGACCCACTGGCGGTGGATAAACAGGAAACAGCTGATAGCAGGAATTAGCGAGCAGCTAGTAGCAAGACGGAAATGCAAACCTGACAGACACTGTAAAGATGAGCAACTGGGGAGACAAGGAATTGTGCACCCTCCTTGCCCTCGCAAACGAAGAGGCCATTAACCGTCAAATGACAGGGACGGTGAAGAACGGGCCGACTTACAAGAGAAAGCACAGAGCTCCTGAAGGAGCTCCCCAAGGACTGACCAGCTGCGGTTTCCCTCCCACGTCACTGTTTACGTCACACACTGAGCAACATGTTTTGTTACTTGCTCATGCCCCCATTTTCCCAAAAAAGGCGCATTCTGTATCAACAAAAGTAGGTAGGCGGCATTTTGCCGTACTCCCCGATTTTATTTTAATACTGCCAATGCTGAAAAAACACTGATTGGGCTTTCCTGCAAATTTGCACAATGCCTATCTAAAAACGGCTAATGTTTACATCTCGTGCTGTCACAAACACAAGACTCTTGTCCATGAGTAGATGCACTTTTCCTTCTACGTGGTGATATGTTTGGTGGGTGTAATTTGGTACAAAGAAAATAGTTCCTACATGAAACTGCTCACAACAAGGTCTGTGGATTATCTTGAGCAACCTGGTCATGATTTCTGGAAAGAAACGTTGCTGTTGAGTTCTTTCAAGTGTATTTTTGGTGCTTTAAGCACCACAAGCTGAGTGCCATGTACTTCCATTATATTCGAGAGACGGCAGATGTTTTTACCGCCGCAATCTCCAGTGCTCAGCAACTCACACCAAAACAATCTAGACTGATAAATAGCACTACAGGTAATAGGGGAAAAATGCATTTTTGATTTGGGGCTGAACCGCTCCTTTAAGTCTTAGTAAAACTACTTTAAAAATTGCAAAGTAGAAAAAAACTCAGTAGAAGAGGTGATTGATGCTGAGATCCATATAAAACTCTTAGCTTTCTCAGTGTTGAACAAAATGTCAGTGAGAAAGCTAAATCTTAAACGAGAGCTCCGATTCCAATGCATGGAGTCTTTGCATTTCACTAACCTCACAATAAAAGCCATATACAAATTTTATGTGAGTTCAGAAAAGCTTTGATTCTCTCTCATTCTTTCGAGGCACTTTGTTGCCATGATGCTTAGTTTTGTTTTTTAACTCTACTGGTTAGGTGGTCAAAACCACCAAAGATAATTCCATGCCTATACAGCAAACAACATACCAGAGACATACGGATAATTAATGTCTCCATGTTCTATAAGTCAGATCACACATACTTACTTCCTTAACATTTTCTCGACACAGTTCGTCTAAGCATGTGGCATTCTTTTTCCTTCTAGATGCGGACAGATGCAGAGAAGAGATCTCTGGTGGAGAGCGGTCTGTCCTGGGACTCTGATGATACCAAACCCAGCCGCAAGAGCCAGGGCGGCGGCGTCTACGATACAGGAAGTCTCAAGTCCGAATCGGCCAATAAATGGAAAAAGACGCGGACACAGGGGGAGGGGCCGGAAGGAGGGAAGGGCGAACTGAAGAAACCTCAGACCTTGGGTCAAGGAAATGTGTTGAAGAAAGGACGAAACCCACCTGTGGGAGTCACCTCTCCAATCACACACACCTCTCAGAGTGGGCTGAAAGTGGCAGGTGAGAGGCGAAACACACACACACACATGCATGCACACAGTGAGGTGTAATAAATATAGCTACACTTGAAATGGTTTCATAACCTGAGCAGACTGACACATTGGCTGCCTTTTAATATTCCCTTCTCTCTGGCAGTCTCACACCCACGCACACAGTCACAGACACACACTCTGTCTTTGTCCCACACATTCATCCACAGCTGCAGCAGCCCACCCTCTGGGCCTTTAGAAAGTGGTGCCATGTATCAAACGCCCATCACCACCCACTCCCTTCCTGCCAGCCAACCACACACACACACACAGACGCAGACACACACTGACCAACAGTGTTTTTTTTTCTTCCTATTGGTCCAGCCTTTCCTATGCAAGCTTTATTTTTGTGCCGGACAGAGAGAATTTATAGCACTTAAATAAAGGCCTTGTACTCAAAACAACTGGACCAGAGACAGTGTGTGTGTGTGTGTGTGTGTGTGTGTGTGTGTGTGTGTGTGTGTGTGTGTGTGCAGATACGTCTGAGATTGTGCCAGCCTTACAGAGTGTCACCCATCACACTTAACACGCACACACACTCTTACCAACACACAAAGAGCACAATAGTGCGGATTGTGCAGCTGCCTTTTAAGCACACCATCTGTGTGCTGTTTACGTAAGCACACACACACACACACACACACACATACACACACACACTTAGAATATAGACAACCAAAACAACAGGATATTAGTTGTGTGCCAGTCTAGATTTGCAATGTCTATATAAACAGTCCTCTTTCTGTGGGACTGTCCTGTGTTTGTGTTGCCAGCTGTTGAAGTGACAGATATGCCAAACATATCTGTGTGTTGAACCAGCCTGTGATCCGTGTGCCAGGCTGTTATTGTTATTGATGTGAACAATACGAATCTGCTTTCAGGGCTATTCAATCTGTCACTGACTTTTAGGCGGTAATTCATCAGATGATGGAGTCAAGTGAAAGCAGACTTGTTGCAGCTCATCAGCGTGGAGGAGCTCATCAATTTAACCGAATAAGCGTCAGACATTCTTAGATAGTTAGAGAGGTCTCTGCTGCTCAGGCTGAAGATCAGTGTGTTGCTGAGGTTTGGCAGGATTGTATGTGAATGTTTGTAAGTCTGTGTTTGTCTGCATGTTTGCGGTATTGTTGGAGACACAGAGAGTGTGAGATCTTTGAAGAAACAACATTTCCAAGAATAGACAAAGCGCTTGTGTACAACACGTCTGTGTAGTATTTACTAAAGATTATTTTCATTGTCATTTTGTCATTTTACAACTATTTTATCTGAACTTAACTGATTGTAATAATTACATTGTCCTGTGGCTGGGAGGTGTGTTCATGTGTTTCAGGCAGAAAGAAATTGTTTGTAACATAGGTCAATATGTCACAAGCGTCAGAACTCTGTTTATTGATTGGCTGTGGGTATTTTTTTGCCACCACAGAATTCAATGTCTGCAGCTGACTGAGCTCAGAGCGACCGCTGCAGCTTTCCATTAGCCTGAGTGTCAGACTGAAGCTCCCAGAACCTTCAGTCTGACATGGCTTCCACTGAAGGCGATTTACAAGGGGCGGGAATTTGATTTTTTCCCTAACCAATCAGTAGAGATCAACGACTCACCCAGAATCTGACGTCATTAGTATCCATACCTCGGGGGTGCCGAAAACAAGCGAGCATTGCCCGTTTAAAATGTCTCCGTCGTCGTGCACGCCCAGCTGCATCGCCGTTAAATCCAGTTTAGCAGCTTCCTTAATTTGGTCCTCCATTAACGCAAGTAGTGGCGAAATACCTCGATAGCATCGTTAATGTGGTCTGTAGGATCTGTAGCAGTCGCCATTGTTGCTATCCTCACCAGTTACCCACCGGCGTACAGCTTGACATCAGCGTGGCGCTGATTGGCTAATCACTAGACCCCCGGCGTTCATTGGTCCGTCCAGCGTTTGGACGAGATAAATCGCAAATTCATTGAAGTATGCCAGACCAGTAATGCAAGCCTACTCAGTTGAGTGGGTGGGGTCTATGGTCTGGAACCAGGCTAGCTTTCCATAGACATTGCGTGGTATCTTGCAGCAGGCTGCGCTTCACCACTGCTTGGTGTGTTTTCAGCGTTATGTTATAAAATGTAAGATAAGCAAAAAAACATTCATTACAAGTTTCAGGAGCACAGGGTAACTACGTCAAACTGGTTGTTTTTCTGACCAGCAGCCAAAAGCCAAAAATATGCAATTTACAGTGATATAAAAGAAATAAAAACAGCAAAACATCACATTTTAAAATGCTGAAACCAACAAACATTTGGCATTTTTCCTTGATAAATAACCTATACAATTACTCATTTGTAAAAAATTGTTGATGATTAATTTTCTGATCGAATGTTTCAGCACCAATTTTATTGTTTTGTACTAACAGAAAATGATTCAATTAACAGTAAATGCTACACAGTTTTTACTCCACACACTTTGCCTCAAATTCCTTAACTCACTGACTTAAAATTAACTTATGTGATTATGTATTTATATGTTATGTACTTTATTTACTTAAAGATGGACATCAGAGTCCTGCACAGGTCAAGATTTGCAAACCACACCCACAAAGCTCAGCACCAGAACTGAACTGTTACCTGTAATTATCTCCAAGTAAAATCTGGACCCAACCCGGCCGTTAATCTAAGTCCTGTGACCTGACCTGTGAATTAACACACCATTTTACCTTGAAGCCATTTTGCATAATGTACTGATTCATCCAGATATGCAAAGCACTCGCTCAGTTAAATCCTACTTGGTGAGGTGATGCAAAGTGACACAAAGATAACCGATTTTGCGGTTATCACATGTCCATATCTACAGTACAGGCCAAAAGTTTGGACACACCTTCTCATTCAATGCGTTTTCTTTATTTTCATGACTATTTACATTGTAGATTCTCACTGAAGGCATCAAAACTATGAATGAACACGTGGAGTTATGTACTTAACAAAAAAAGGTGAAATAACTGAAAACATGTTTTATATTCTAGTTTCTTCAAAATAGCCACCCTTTGCTCTGATT